ATCCGAACACTGAGTGTTTCTCATTATCATGAATAGAGCGCTAAACGCTCTCTTGATAACACTATCAATATGGAAAGAAAATTTCATATTCGAGTGAAAGAACACTCCTAGATCCTTAGCACATTGAGTTGTTGGCAGGGTGACGCCATCAACAACGTACTGAGTATCAGGAGCGTCCCCAAATGCATGACCAGACACTTGTTCAGATTAAGAGGGATATCCCAAAGAGTCGCCCATTCACTCATTTTCTTTACTGACAACTGAGCGCTTGCTTGTATAATCTCACTGTTGTTATTGTCATAGGCAGCATATATTTTGATATCATCTGCGTATACTTGTACCTGAACATCGCAATGTGTTTTAAGTAGCTGAGGCAGTTCAATGGAGTAAATCAAGAAAAGCAGGGGAGACAACACCCCACCTTGGGGTACCCCACTGGTGCAAGCAAAAAACTGGGAGTAGCTGGTTCCCCACTCGAACTATCATGCTCCTGCCATTGAGATATGACGACAGCCAAGTAAGAGTCTTGCCACGGATACCGTACTGATCTAGTTTGAAAAACAGTTTTGTGTGGCAGACCTTATCGAAGGCCTTCGAAAGATCAAAATGGATGACATCTACAGACTTCCCGCAGTTGATAGCCTTGCAGATATCATAGAAGGTGTCAATAAGGTTGGTGCAGGTAGAAGCTCCAGGTAGGAATCCGTGCTGTTCAGCTGGAATGAGGTGAAATTTCCAAACCACGCCAGTATTTTATCGTAAATGATCTTTTCCATTACCTTAGCAGGAGTAGGAGTGAGGCTAATGGGCCTAAAATCACTAACTCTGTTAGATCCTAAACTTTTGGGAACAGCCGTTATAATTGCCTTCTCCAAAGCTGTGGAGTGTCCCTAGAAGATATGATATGTTAAAGAGGTGAGCAAGGGGCTCACGCAAGGAGGTGCTGCATTTCCTAAAAACGATTTGAGGAATTCCATCAATTGGCTCACTCACGGAAGGTTTCAAGATTTTTCAACACAGAGGAAACAGCAGCAGGGTGGAAATAAATATCTGGAAAACTACTTCGTAAGCCTTCTTGAACTGTGGTCCACAGCACTTCAGCGGATTGGAAGGAAGGAAAACACTAGCGAAATACCTACCTAAGAGCTTCAGCCTTCGCAGAATCGGTGTAGAGCTTAGAGCCAGCCTGATCTTCTAAAGTGGGTAAGGAGGTCTTAGGTCTAAATTTGTTGCGGAGGTAAGATGCAGGCGCCTCAGTGAATTTTGAGACCCAAGGCGGCGCTCGAAGTTAGCAATGAACTTATTGAGGTGCCGATCTATGTCTGAACAAACTTTTCTATAAAGCGGGCATTTTAAAGGATACTCCAGTAGATGGAATAGACGTTCCTTCTGGTTTAGCAAATTTCTGATATGCAACGGGTATATAACAGGACGAAGCCAGGAAGTCTCATCGGAACATATATTTTGAACGCATTGTAGAGAGCACTACAGAATCTCTTATAGATATCATCGATAGAGCTGTACTGATCAAAGACATTGAACCAGTCCACTTTCAAGAGATGCTCATTAAGGCCCTTGTAGTCAACACGAGAAAAATCCGGTAGAGGGACGGTATATGTTGATTCAATTTTTTCTAACAGGACGAATCGAACAGAGGCATGGTCAGAACTGGCCAGTGGGGAAGAAATAGAGACATCACGTATATTAGGAATAGTAGACAGGACTAAATCGAGAGTGTTTTCGCCGTGAGTCGGCAGAGAAACGTGCTGTTGAAAGTTACCCTCTTGAAAGAAGTCAAGGAAAGGCGCTGAGGCTGAATTCAGGGCACGCATATTTCTCCAGTCAATAGATAGGTTGAAGTCTCCTAGGATTAAATTGTTGGTCTGCGTCGAGACAATATCACGAAGTAAATCTATTAACTGCTCATCATCTCTCTTGTTCGAGCTCGGTGGTCGATAAACGACAGTTATTCGAGTTCTCAATACCTCGAGAGGGCAGAAAAGCTCTAAGGAAAGAACGTCGGCATTCATTGTACGATTCAATTCAACGGAAGAAGTAAGGAGGTTACCCTTGACTAAACAACATACCCCACCACCTCTACGATCTTTCCGGTCCAAACGGTAAACAAAGTAAGGGAATGCAGCTACAATTTCTGAGTCAGATATTATTGGGTGTAAGCCATGTCTCAGTAAAGAATATAAGGTCAGGCTCTTGGTGGCTAATTAAGGCGTGCAAGTGATTAAGCTTATTAGACAAACTACGGGCGTTTATTAAGTAGCATGTAAGGGCAGATGCGCCATGCACCGCTAGGCATTTACCGAACGTTTGTGAGGTAATTCAGATGTGTGTTTGAGTTGACCTTGGTAGACAACCCATTCACGAACATCCTTGCCCTTATTACGTTCTTCGGCCTCTTTGCGGAGCTCGTATTCGCGCTTCCTCTCGTCCTCTGTCATACTGCGTCGAATAAAGACATGTGGGAGCCCAGCACCTCGAAGCAAACGTGCATTAGCTAAAGCTCGGCGCCAGTGGGACCTAGCTGGTAACACAACCTTGACGAGGCGAGGGCGATCCTTGTCACGCTTGCCCATCCGGTATATCTCGGTCGGGCGGCATTCGACGTCCAAAACGTCGAGGACAGCGCACACCTTATCCTCGAGGTCCCTTTGACGAGCCGAGGGAGGTAAATTGCCCGGCGCTTCATCCAGGCCAGAGATGACTATGCTACGTCCACGCTTATCACTCTCAAGAAGCTGAGAAAGTTCCATAGGAGAGAGCGCTATAAGCATGCTCTCAATGGCGGGATCCTGATTGAGTTCGATTATGCCTTTTTAAAAGTCATAGCTGACATTTTTCACTGAAGTTTTGCGGCTCGACGTAGCAGTGGGACCCGTGCCTCCAATTAATGCCAGCTCGTGGACGACTGAAAGGAGCTCACCTGCGCATTGTACCGCGGCCGTACCTTTCGTGCATTTACTGATCGTTTTGACCTACCATTCGCAGTCACTAATCATGCAAAGGCACCTCCACCGACGCTAGACAGGACAGAAACAGTCTTTTAGCAGCTTAAAAATGGGCTCAAGTGTTTTTACATAAGGCCAGCGAACACTCACAGTCAAAGTCAACAGTTTGAGAGCATAACACCACGGAAGGAAAAGGGAGGAACACTCCCAAGATGCTCGCGAGAACCGACCGGTCGTCAGGCGCGCGACTTGCTGTCAGAATCGGTTGAGTATTCCCGGTGTGCAGGCGGCACCTTGGCGGGCACTTGGTGCGAATGAGAAAAGGCCAGCGTTTTCTCATAACGAAGCACTTACGTGTGTTTTCAACCTGCACGAGTACATTAAAAACAAGAGTAACCTAGACACGCTGGCGGAATAAGAATTTCAGATCTGACAAGCGGCCAATGTGTGACAGGCGTTGTCCACGTGTTTATTTACTCATGATTGTTTGGGCCGCGAGAGCATTCCAAACCGTAGCAGCTGTTGCGTGAAGGAGAGAAGGTGCCTGCACATTGTCTGACTATGCAACGGATCATGACCACGTATTGCAGCTGGCAAAAATGGATCCACGTCAGTCACTGGCTGCATGTGTAACCACATGTAACAGCCACGTCGATGATGATAGCGTCACGGCTCTCGTTTCGGGGAGGATCTTTTCGAATATGAGACCATTCAATGATGACATGTGTTTGCGCGTGGCTATGCGAGAAGCGGACGTTGGGACAAGCAACGAACAGAAAACCCCATAAGCCGATGATGTTGAATGCATTATCGAGGTCATCACTTTGGTGGTCTCAACATGCTCCCGTGTACTGGCGATATGTTGCGAGGGTTGACAGGTATGGTTGCGAAGGGCGTTGAGGGCATGGTGGAAGCGTTCTGGAGCAGCACGCTTACATGAACCAATAGCTGCACACAATTGCTTGTCAATTTCGGTTTTCGAAGAACGGTGCGTCAATTCACAATACTCCTTACCTAGGCGCCAGTATGGGAGCACCTTGCGGACATGCGTTACCATTCATAGTGCTGTATTACAGGCTACGTACGGTCGTAAAGACGTTCTGAGTTGCGTTCATCTTCACCACGGGATCGCTGTCGTAAGGAAGGTGTCGCATTCTTTCTTACGATCGTGTCGTTCGGTTTCAGGTTAACCTTTTGTAGCTTATACAGTACACTATGCTCTTGTGTGTAAATATCCTCTAATATGCTACAATTTCATAATCTATCTCGATATTCACCGTTGCGTAGTTGTGTTCGCAACGACGCTCACTTGATGACAGTTGCGTTGAACGCTCGCTTGCCGCATTCCTCATGCTACCAGCGAAATGGTGGTGGAAGGCGTTTATCACATAGTTCTATCAAGCTGCACTTCAGGCCAGTGCGACACGCCTAAACCTTTCCGGTATCGTTATATGTTAACTAAGTTTTTATCACGCAAAGGGGTAATCGCCCTCTGTTTTGCACACCGCGTAGGTTAGCATATACCATAGTGCGCTGAGGTCAGTGCTACCAGGGAACAACTTGGATGCAGAGGATCTGGTCATGGCCATGGTGATCTTACGCTACCAAGATATCCTGTCAGAGTAACCTACTTGCAGCGTTATTAATTCACACTCCGCATTGCAAGCCAAATCCTATAAATGCCAGCAAGTGAGCCCACTATAGACGACTGGCTTGGCTCGAAAGGTTCTGATTATGATGACACAACTTCACTGTCACATGGTGAGTGAAGAATGAAACGTTGAAATTCATTTGGGTCCTGGGCAATCTTCCTTATCACAAGTTCGGTCCTTCTTTGCCTCAATGAGGAGTAATGTTGTACCTCCTTATGAAGTACATACGCATGCATTACTAAGTTATCCCAGAAATAGTGACTCAATACCTTACACTTTACTTAGTCGACCCATTCACAAGCAACCTTCTGTAGCTTACTCCAACTTTTCCAAAACCTATTTTTGAGATTCTCATCTTCATCACTTCCTATTAGGATCCTCCAAACGCTGAACAACGTAGAACATCGGCCAGCAGATAGGCGAAAGCATGTTTCAATGTTAAGCGCTTGCGTTGAGGCATCCTCGACCCGTCAGGGGGGTCGCATGGCCGCTGGTGGAAGTGTTATATTCTGAAGACACTTGACTCCAGCTGCTCTTAGCGTCGCGGTTAGCCATGTATAGGCATGTTTTGTAGATGTTGTTTTTAGCATGAGCAGCACTTCGCTTAACAAATTCAAACTTAAAATACCCACAATGCGCCGCTAGTTATGGGACGATCTAATGGGTCTCCAGAGTGACGATGAGAGCGAACTTTTCTTTCTTCTTTCCCTCGATTCTTTTTCTGCTCATGGTCAGTAAACTGGTTATTGCTCTCTGAAAAATGCAACGCATCTCTCCTGTGCACGTGCCCCTGAGCCCACATATTAGTCGTTGTGAACTTAGATATTGACTGCGGTGGCCATACTGTAATTAGACCCTCGGCGGGAAAATTTTTATCGATTTTCGATGCACTATCCCTTACGCGATACGTTGATTTCCTCACCCGGCAAAACAGTATTTTCGACATTGTCCTTTCAATAAGGGTAGTGTTCCACGGGCACACCCTACCCCATTAGGGATTTCAGCCAAATGAACAGGAATGCCATCGCTTATCATCTCTTACAAATTGACTGGTTTAGGGTCTTCTCTGGCTATGTCAACCTAGACGATGTTTATGCCAGATTTCGTGCCATCGTTGTTGCTTTAATTGACCAATTCATTCCTCTCAATGCGCAAAAGCGGCAAACCATGAGATACCCATCACACACCAGCCGATCTCATCCAAACAAAGGAGAGGATATTTGGCCTTACCGACAGCCCATTAAATTCACGAGTGCTGCAGAATCAACGATGTTGCCTACTTTAAGCGCATTATTGGCCTACAAAGTCAAAAGTGCGCAGAAAAGGCATATCGAAGCATTGGCTGCGTTCACAAAACAATTCGGTCAATACAAGTGCCGAGGGGATAGAAGGACCATAGGTGGGGAAATTATTCGTACTATATCAGGCATCGGCCGAGGGCTTGCTGTTTTTAACCGTTTTTGTACCCATGCAGAAAGGAATCCGCCTACGCCTACTACTCACAAATAAGGATTCGGAATCCCCTATCACGCAAGAGAGGTCCATTACTCTCTGCTTCTCAGTCCCTATCCCTGAATGTGGTAGTTCCCACAATTGTTTTAAAATCTTTGCGAAAGGCGTTGCTCTTCCTCTTGCATCCATTATTCACCTGTCGTTTCATGGCGGCAAGGTCATCGTCTAGGAAACTTGCGTAACACTCATGGTCCATAAAAAGGGAATTGCAAGCTATTTCTAAGTTCCGCTCTTATGTTACTGCCGCCACCATTGAAGGTCTTGGAAAAAATTTGCCACCGCTTCTGCTATGGATTTCTCACTAAATGCTATTTTCTGAACCAACATGGGTTCCTCCCTGCCGTCCCACGTCGTCCACAGTTTGATTGATTGGCTACCACTTTGGGATGAGCTCTTTTCGGCCGAAAGTCCAATAGTGTATTTCGATCTGTTAAGCTATCCGATACTTGCTAGTCGACTCTTGAGAAACTTGGGCATCGTTGATGGGGGTTTACTCCCAGACGTTTCGATCTTACTCGAGGTTGGAAGATGAGTGTACGTTGTCTGCAGAGTGTCTCGCCTAGAGTGTACTTCCGGAGTCCTCAAGCGTTGATAGTCTGTCTCCGCTGCTATTTCTTGTACACCTGTGACCTCCTTAGCAGTATCAAGATTGACTCTAGAGTTTATGTTGCGGCCTATGCTGACGACATTAAAGTATCCGTCGCCTTTGACGATGATAGCAGAGATGAAGCTGCAGCTCTGAATTCCGTCTTGTCCGCTAATGGGATGCGTAATGGTTGAGCTGGAATGGGGACTACAGTAACCTCAAAAACGCATGCCTCTCCGTTTAGGCGTCCACAGGTCGAGAGATCCGCTTCCTTGATGGCAGTTTGTTACCTATTCGTGTTTACACGATCTCGGCGTCTTGGATACAATGACAGGAAATGGAGGTCTTCTCATTCGATGGACTTTCCAAAAGGCTCAAACTTAGTTCCACCTCTGCGTTATTTCATTCTTTTGACGCCTGAATTTATGGATAGCTTTATATGTATGTTCCCCTTGTCCTCGGAATACTGTAAGCTCTGTTATTGGGCCCCTCTCTTACTAAGGATAGTCCGAAAATGAACGTTTAGCAACATTCGCTCGGGATACTTTTCTCAGGGTTTTGCAGATAAGAACTACCCTCCCCTACCCTCTAGCAGCGAAGCGCTAAACAAAACTGCTATGAACAGCCTTTTTACAGGACGATCCTCAGAGATTTGTGTTTAGCATTCAGCTTTAGGGAACTCCGTGTAAACCGGTCAGGATGGCGTTTTCGACCAGTCTGGGCCACTGGCGCTTCCGTATCTACACCTCGTGGGAAGTGCGACGTGACCCTCAGAACTCTTTCATTCTTCGGACCACGAAATGGCTGGAGCGGCTGCCTTCTCGTCTTCTTGGGCTCAGTAATTCAAAAGACTTCAAGAACCTACATCAGAAAGGTCAACGTACTGAACATTTTGGGAATCGCCGATGTCTGTTGATGTGTTATTATCTTGTTACTCAGCAGTGCCACGTTTAATTGTCGCTTTACAGTCAACGGTCCGCCTTGCATAGAATCCTGCTCCTGTAGGAGTAGTGAAAGAATTTTGGTCATCCTTTTTGCACTCATCTCTTTTACACGTTTTGGTCCTCCAATTTGAAGCTGCTGTCGCGTTTTCTGAGATGTCACTGTTCTCGTTTATGACTACCGCTGCGTCTCCACTGGCCGTAGTCGGTTCTACGTGTCCCCGACCAGTGTTCCGGCAATCTGTCCCTATATCACCACTCGCCTCCGTGGCTCGGAGAGGCATCATTGAGCGATGATGCGGGTCTTGTCTAAGGTTGGTTGCTGTATGCAAGTATTTGCAACTTATTTTTCATCTCATCCTCCTTGGACCATTTCGTTCCTTAGTACTATCTCTTTCTCATCGGCTTCATTTCTTCATCTTAGCATCACTGCAATGTGGTCCGCTTGACTGGTAAGCTTTTTCATCCTTTCTTTATTTGCATTTATTCGCTCTGCAGTCTATCCGATCCTTTCACTTGCGCGTAGTTTGTTTTTTTTCACTCTTGAGCTCTTTGTGATGCAGCAATCACCCTCATCTTATTTTATACTTTACACTTTGTTTTCCTTTGTTTTCATTTAAGCTTTGTTAAGATCTTGAAGTCCTTAACGCTGCTACTCTTATTTGCCCTCTTGATTGAAACTTGTTGCGCGTCTCTGGCGCACAGTAATAAATACTAATGAACGACATTTTGCCATCATATGTCGGTGACCGAGAGTGAATGGAGACGGCCTAGGACCCATTTGGTAGAGTGGCGATCACAGTGAGGTGGCCGCGTATTCTCAAGAATTTGATCAGGATTCGACGGGATGTAGAGGCGCGAACATGGAGTACTTAGCAAACAAGAGCGCTAATATATGTTCGGCTAACATGTTTGGTCGAAGTGGCGGGGATTAATTTAAAGTAAATTCCTGTTACGGCGCTTTATTGTGAGCGCTCAAAGCTTCCAATATGTTAATATTGGTGAGAGCATACTTTAGGTGATGCAGAACTATACACTGTGCTTCGTTTGTGAGAAACGATTGTCTTGGGACGGCACTGGATAAGGACAGGCCAATTTCCACTTCCCAATCGACTTGTTTTTTCTTCACTCTTATTCATAGTATGGGCGGACGCGGTGGTCGCGGCCGTGACCGAGCGGTCCGGGATTCAAATCCTGGGTCGTGAGTCGCCCGGGCCAACCAAGCCTTCCATCCCTCCGGGGTCGGTTAATTGGTACCAGACTTGTCTGGGAGGATAAAAACACTGACTTGAACATCGGCTGGCCCCCGCAAGTCATTGTATAGGCCACATCGCATTCAAACGCCACTACGAATGTACAAATGGAAGTAGAATGCGTGCCGCATCCCAAAAGGGATTGATCAACGGCAAATGCTTTATCCTTTTATCCTTTATCCTTTATTTCTACGTTCCGCTTCCTGCCGAGCCAGTCCTGAATTTCTCTGTTGTGCGCTCGGACAAGAATGTCCACTACAGTAAAGAAGGCATTACCTTATTTGGGATCTCGCCATGCGGGAACCTCCGAAGGCAGAAGTCGATACGTTCTGTAATGTTCCGATTTCTTGTTGTGACATGTTACCTTGCGACTCTCCCAGCTGCGTCCGGTGCTTAGCAATGTAACTTCATCACTGTTGCCCATACGAGCTTCCTTGATTAGTAGAATGGCCACTGGGATGCGTTGACCCAGAACCCTGGTTGGTGGACATGCGCGGGATTTGTGGTCCGGGTCCATGAATTGTTGCGAATGCCGGAGTTAGTCGCTTCAAAAAAAACGAAGTTCATCGCATTCCACAAGTGCTCCGAACGGAGGACGACAGAGGGAGAGTTGGAACTTGGCTTGACTGCACCCGGCCTTACCTCGGCGCGCATACTTTAGTCCCACGACAATTTTCCCACACTAGAATTTGGAGATGTTTTGAAAGTGCTCTCCGCGTAATTGTGCACATGCAACTGCGGTCTGAGTTTATATGAATCCAGTTCGAAAAAGAATATTTTATCTTTTTCGAAAATACGCGACTTGCCTAAGACCCACAATCACCGTTCCACCTCATCGTTCTCCGTTGCTTTCGCTTTACCATAAATATTGAACCTTTACCTTCACCTCCCTTAGGCACATAGAAAGGCGAAGCCCGCCTGGCGAACTTCCGTAAAAGGAAAACCCTAGCAAAAGAGACGCAGGAGTTGTTGAAGTGTCAGCTCACGCTAGAATTTGTCGGGTGGCTTCATAACGAACAAGTTTCTCAAGGATGCTACAGGATATGATTCTGGGAAGAACCCTGATTACTATCCGACCGAGATAAGCCGTATCGTGAGAAAATAATACGACTTTATCCAGACGGGACGGAAATCAAAACTTCTTCAAAAGTTAGTGTCTCAATGGAAGCTGTCCAGTGTTTTATTAGGGGGTCCATTTATTGTGAATCACTTTACGTTTTGTTTATTAAATCCAATAATATGGTGCAGCGTGACCTTTTTCGAATTTGCAGCACCTTTTCTATCCGGCGGCAGTTACTCAGCCCATTTACGTGCTGTCTGCGTGCGATCTTTCCATTTTTCTGGAACTATTTTTAGCTCGAGACCGTTTTAATCACTTGCCTCTTACGATCTTAAATCGACCTACCGTCTATAGAATAGCCAGCAGTATGCGGCGACGGCAGGCTCGGCGCTCAATTCGTGGTTGCCTTTTGTTCACTCTATCGAATAGTTGGTTTTTGGGAGCGCTTGAAGATCACCCACATCAAACTACCCTCAGTTGGAATCTCCTGCTGTACTTAGCCCTGATTCTGATACTGAGTGGACGAACTGGTCGCCATTTGTTAGAGATTGTCCGACTTGTTGAAATGATGGTATGTGGACCTCTACGTAGAGTTGTAAAGATTCTAGAATATTTAGTTTGTATCTTGTATGCTCTGAGCCCGAAGCAGCTCACACACGCCCGACTCATGCTGCCTTCAATCTCCATTTCTTACAGTGTTCTCAGACATCACCGGTTCGGACTGAACTGGGTGAGTGTACCAGCGAATCTCCAGGACAGTGCTGCCTGCAAATGACGATCAGAGAGTTTGAAGCCAAAAGTCAAAACCTGTTGAGTCCGACACTTGCAGTCTATTGGTGAAAAACCGAGAGTGACATGCGCGGGAACCGCGGCCAGTTAGACCAGGCGTCGCTGAGAAGCATACATCTACAGCGTATGGCTACGCGCTCATTGAAAGTTAAAAGCAGCCAAGTCGCTCTCTTTTTCCTGAGGTCGTTCGACCCACCTTGCGGAGAATATTCATAAAAAATTAGAGACTCTCAAGCTAGCCGATCTTCCACTTCCTCTGTGTGGCCCTATCCTCGTGCCAACAAGAAGCAACTCAGCTTGACCTCTAGCGCTCTTCCCCCCGCGGAGTTTTATGCTGGTGGCGGTGATCCGATCCGCCTGACCTAACTCGACTTTCCGTCTTTTCTTCGAGCTCCTGCATTCTAGCGATAAGACATGCGACTAAATTTCCTTTGTATAGCAATACAGTGGCTAGGTGACAGCGGGGCTGTGTTTGGTACAAGCAAAGGACAGCCTAAAAATGTAAAAAAAACTTGAATCCAAATACTCATAGTGAGCCAATGGGAGACCTTTATCACTATCGTCGTGACAGCCATGCTGGAGATAAAATACGCTCTTAGTTGAAAAGAATATAGACGGAACGAGCCGTTGTTCTAAAAGTTTTGTAAGTCGGCCGAGCGTGAGCATTTTTGTTCGTGATATTTGGGGTACCCTACTGACTCCTCTCTGCGGATCATTTCCTTCTCCATACATGGGTGCACGACGTTACCGGCAAACGGATCTCGAGAAAACCCGTTAAGAGAAAGAGAGACACGAATTAAAAGTCGCAAATGAAAGAATGCCATCGCTTCACTCAAACTGGCTGAGCTTTCAAAGAAAAATGGCTCGTTTTTCTTTCTGATTTCTTCTCACTGAGAGCGTATTTCTTATCGTCCAGACTATGCGACTGTCACGCATTTTGCGAGCACGTCACTGTCTTCCATTGCGACTACTAAGTTTGAGAAGTTTGGAGGTTTCCGTAAACCGCCGGAGATAACTTCGTATCCTTGCCATATCGCGTTATTGTCTACGAGGGAGGTCTTTCAGGTGTACCCGCGCTTTCTCAAAACGGTTTTTTGCATGATGTAGAGGGATGTGCATGGAGTTACAGAACTGTAGTCCATTTCCGCTAAATGGCTCTCTGAATGCCAAAAAAGGAGTGAAAATGATTTTGTCGGAAACTGCAGTTTTTACGCATTCAACGTGGTTTGTCTCGTTCATGGCGTGAACTGCTCGCATAATGAAGGGCTCTCGCAACCTCTGTATCGGAAACAACGCGAAGTTTGGCCAAAATTGGGAAGTTGTTGTAGTGATGTCATGTTATGTACTGAAAAGCTCGGGAAAGTTTCATTAGTGCATTTAGGTTTTCGACTGCCGGCAGCGTCGGTGGTCTAGTGGTTAGCGAAGTGGGCTTCAATTGGAACGGTCGGACGGGGTTTGTGGTTCGGATCCTTGGGGCGTGAAAATTTTTGCATTTCTTGTTGGCACTTCCAGATTGACTCCTAGTTGCATATAAGCTAGAATAGATATATTATTCATGATAAGAAGCATAGGTGACCACAGTAAGGAAGGATTCCCTCGCAATTTGTCGAGAAAAAATGGTGGCGTCACAGTGGCACTCTAAAGCGCCCACATCACAAAGGAATGTCGCGCTTTTGATCAGCGCACTGCACAACCCTTGAGTTCAGAATGACGAGATTTTTTTTCAATTTTTTTTGATGTGTTCATTTTCCCATTTATTGCAGCAAATAATCAACAGACATGGTACAGCTCTACAAAACAAGTAAAGCATAGGTGCCTGTTGCACCAACTGCATCTGACGAATGCCCAAGAAGAGCAGCTACTGATTCCTTGGCATAAAACAGCTACTTCGCCTTCGTTGAAACCATAATCGGTGGGCGTTGTAAATGGTCCTGGGTGGTAAACGGTTATACTCACACTTATACGTGCTTGTGCGAGTATACCTTTGTGATGTACCGGAAGGTACGACCACATCTGATGAAGCAGTTGTGTGGTTCATTTTCAACATCATGACTTTCTCACCTGCCAGAGTTATTGCTCGTCTTCTGTCGACGTTTGAGCCCGATTTTTCTCCCCCAACAAGGAGAGAAATCGCAATTGCTGACGCGTTTAAAGGGATTCTCTTGGGAGCAGTAAGCGGTGACGTCGACTACGAAGAAGAAGAATCGCTTCAGGTTAGCTTCTGTCGGCATATGGGAGCTGTTGTGTAAAGAAATGTTCTCTGGTTTCCCGATTCGCTGCGCTTTACAGGCATTCTTCGACGAAAAAGAGGAGGTTGACTGGAGTCTAGAAGACGATGTTGACGATTGTTCTAGCAGTGATGTACTCCCATCACAGAAGAGCGTTATGTTCGACGGAAGACCCATTCCTGAAAACATTGTTAGTTGGAACACCGTGTAGCGTGGGCTAGAGGCATGAGCTCTATGTTTTCACAGGTCAAGCGCGCCGTTACCCATTACCGTGATACGGACAAAGGATCACGTTCTTTAGCGTCCATGACGAACAGATATAAGTGGATCAAAACCAAACGGCACATCGCTTTGCTCCGCGCATTTGAAAAAAAAGGTATGGTATTCAAAGCTGAATGCTGAATAGTAAGCAACGAAGATATACCTTTGAGAATTTTCCTAATTGATCCAGGAATGGTCGAAGAAACAAGAGCGCTAAATTTTAAACGGCTTTCTGCAGTTCTTCGAGACCGAGTACTGGAGGCCGCTGAACAAGGTATGTACAGATGTTCAATGTGAGGATGTGATAGATGCTAGTGTGCACCATTCAACAAATGCTTTCTAGGACTGCCCTTGTCGTACGCCATTGTGCGGCACATGGCTGTTCGCATAAACCGCGAACAGGGGCTCATCGAAAACTTTAGGGCATCCAAGTCGTGGATAGCGAAATTTGTCCGGGAGTGCGGTCTGCGGTCTAGAAGAGTGACGCGCTTTGTGACAACGAAAAGCCTCCGTTCTAGACAAGAAGTGGAGCAGGAGGCAAATGACTTTGTTAGGCGTGTAAGAGAGGAGATGAAGAAGTACCCCCTCTCTGTATTCGCAAACGCAGACCAGACGGGAATAAACAAAGAAATGGCATCGGGAAGGTGAGCTGTTTTGAGAAAATCCCGGGCGTTGATAATAGCTTTGTTGCAGAACCCTGGCTCCTGTCGGGTCCAAGCAAGTTATGAGGGTGGTGAAGTCCACCTCATCATTGACTCACTCTTTTACCGCCATGCCGGTCATATATGCTGATGGACGCCTCGCAGAGAAGCTGCTTGTCATTCTCCCCGAAAGGGGAGGAGTATTCCCTCAAAGCGGGCATTGGCAGGCTCCAAACTTGCTGGTGTTTGCTGGAAAAACTCACATTATGACGAAATCGCAGGTACCAGCTTTCGTCAGGGAGTGCGTGGTTGGGTCGTCGGCCCCTCCACTTACAATACTTCTTGTCGATAGCTGGTCTGGTTTTGCAGACCAAGCCAATGTGCTGTCAGAGGTACCTGATGGGAAACAGCTTCAGCTGATGACCATCCCACCAGGAGCGACTGGCCTCTGTCAGCCATTGGATGTCTATTTCTTTCGGCTGTTCAAACGCTACATTAGGCGTATACACGATCACGTGATCCATCACTACCCCGATTTCGCCTTCACTAGGGACAACATTTTGAAAGTAAGAACTTTTTGTCAGCAAATTTGATTTCCACTGACTAATTCCTCTGCAGGTCGTCAGTCAGACATACCGGCAATTCTGCGCTCCAGTATTCCGTCCGTGCCTAGCATACGCGTGGGTAGCTGCTGGGTATGTGGACGAACACCCAGGACCATTTACAACGCCCACCGATTATGGTTTCAACGAAGGCGAAGTAGCTGTTTTATGCCAAGGAATCAGTAGCTGCTCTTCTTGGGCATTCGTCAGATGCAGTTGGTGCAACAGGCACCTATGCTTTACTTGTTTTGTAGAGCTGTACCATGTCTGTTGATTATTTGCTGCAATAAATGGGAAAATGAACACATCAAAAAAAATTGAAAAAAAATCTCGTCATTCTGAACTCAAGGGTTGTGCAGTGCGCTGATCAAAAGCGCGACATTCCTTTGTGATGTGGGCGCTTTAGAGTGCCACTGTGACGCCACCATTTTTTCTCGACAAATTGCGAGGGAATCCTTCCTTACTGTGGTCACCTATGCTTCTTATCATGAATAATATATCTATTCTAGCTTATATGCAACTAGGAGTCAATCTGGAAGTGCCAACAAGAAATGCAAAAATTTTCACGCCCCAAGGATCCGAACCACAAACCCCGTCCGACCGTTCCAATTGAAGCCCACTTCGCTAACCACTAGACCACCGACGCTGCCGGCAGTCGAAAACCTAAATGCACTAATGAAACTTTCCCGAGCTTTTCAGTACATAACATGACATCACTACAACAACTTCCCAATTTTGGCCAAACTTCGCGTTGTTTCCGATACAGAGGTTGCGAGACCCTTCATTATGCAAGCAGTCCACGCCATGAATGAAACAAACCACGTTGAATGCGTAAAAACTGCAGTTTCCGACAAAATATTTTCACTCCTTTTTTGGCATTCAGAGGCCATTTAGCGGAAATGGACTACAGTTCTGTACTCCATGCACGTCCCTCTACATCATGCAAAAAACCGTTTTGAGAAAGCGCGGGACACCTGAAGACCTCCCCTTCGTTAGGCGAGAATTGATCACCATTCCGGCAGGCATGTCAGCCTACTATCTATTATTGGGCTTACTTTAGGGGACAATGTGTCACTTAAGAAGATAAGACAATCGGAGAAAGACCCACAAGACTGCTAGCTTTATGCATTTTATTTTGGTGCATGCGGGTATGTGGCGGACTGTCAATTACTGGACGACACTTAAGTCAAACAAAATACACTGAAGTTTTATTGTATTAAATGCAGTTAGGCGTCTCTTATGCCCCTGTGGTTAGCATGCTCTGAGTTATCAAAAGTTATCGAAAGTGATCAAAGGCTGAGATGCAGATGTAATGGGTTCCTCGGAGGTTGTAATTGTTTGGTAGCAGAAACATGTCTGGGAAGGAGACGCGAGGGTTTGGGTTCCGCTCGGACGGACGTGTAGGAGTACAATAATCACAATTATTTGGAATCGAAAAATAAATTTTTAGATGCTACCACGGCTCGATGATTTAGAATCTAGAACCGGAGTAAAGATGTTGCAGATAAAGACTGCGAAAATCTCTACCAGTGTGGGAGCACCTCCAATTCACCTCACTGCGCTTTTCGATGGGCGCAGGATTATAAAGCTTCGCTGCCGCGTGTCGTGCGCTACGATGCGACTGCTGCGATAGGGCGGGGCCTGTCGTCAATCGCGTATCCTCGCTACGGCCCTAAAGGAAGAGATGATGATTTCGGGCTCTAGGTAGGTGAGAAGGAGGTGTTATACTTGCCATGTTTTACAGGGGGCAGGAAGTTTATACCAGCTTAGCGATACGCTTGGGGCCTGGAGCATTTTCGGTGATATTTCAAAACTGTTTCGATGAAAGTTGGAGCTATTTAAGAGGATTAGGAGTCTGCGTTGGTCTGGTTCATCAGAACTCTTTGCTTATGAAGACATTACACATAAATAGACGGGAAACTGCACAGAGACGGTCTCCATGATTGCGACTTCGCAGGAATCAGACATGGTCAACCGTCCGTTCGCACTATTCGAACGAGGGGGTCGCATTTTGGGGTTGAGCAAGGTTATCATAGTGGGAACGGAGGTCGTTGAAAGGGGTTGCCATTAGACGGGTTTTTGAAGGATTTGGTGAAAGTTCTAGGAAAGTAGTGTGAAATTTAATAAAAATTGGAGGATTTGCCGCTTCATGACACCAATTCAGAAAAGTGGGCGGAGTTGAGTTGTGCCGATTGCTCCGATAGTAAGAATCGAATATTATTATTATAGAAACAGCCATGATGGCGAGGGTGGCGGTCGGGGTAGGGAGGAGAGGGGTCGCATTGGGGGAGCCTCCTGAGACTCATGGTGGTGGTGGTGAGGAGGTCGCATCGAGACCCTCTAAGGGGGAGGGTCGCTAAATTTTCGTAAAAGTGCGAACGTGACGGTTGAGTCTGGACTCGGAACTTCTTCCACTGTTCAAGAGGCAGTTGCAGCCAAAAATGAGAGCAAAACCCCAAAATAGGGGCCGATTATAGTACCCTCCCTGCCGAAAAGGTGATAGTTCGGGAAGGTATAGTGATAAAGTGAAACTAAATTGGCGCTCATCTCAACAGAATGTCAAAATCAGCTGGAAAGTATAATAAAGCCAAAGTCGACGTGTAATGAAACAGTTCTGGATCCCTGAGCATTCTTCTAACGATCATTAACCCTCCATTGGGATTGAACTTCAAACTGCGCTTTCAGACAATCGATAGCGGGCCTTAGAAAAACCTCCACGGAAAAAGCTCCGCCTTCATAACCACAGAAAACGATACCTTAAAGAAATCTTCCACGGAAAGCTCCGTTCATTTTGCTATGTTCATTAGGCTAAGGGGCCTAAGGGGTGTCGTTTTTCTGGGGTAATGGAGACGAGCTTTTCAACGAGTTCCTTATTCTTCTACGGATGCGGTAGCGGCCTAGGAGGTATAATGTACTCACATGTCCCTGTGTTCCGAAGTTCGGCTTGGGTCTTCTAGAAATCGCGGGGGGGGGGGGCGGGGGGGGGTGGGGGGGTGGCGAGATAGGGGGAGAAAAGGGGGAGAAGCGCAGAATGGTACTTGCTTCTTTCAGGGGGCGCTATCGATCGTGTGTACGGACTATTCTAAACCAGTGACAGTGAAACGACGCGGATTCATTTGCCAGCTTATGTCGACCATTAGAAAACACCCTGTCAATTTCTGAGCAACTCTTTTCATAGGAATCGATAAAGAAGTTCAAGATCGTTTAGGACTTTTTCAACGAGTGATGTTGATGTATAGCTAGCAATTCTAGCGCATAGCTGGTTTCCAACTTCTGACCGTGACTATGCGGAGAAATGTGTTCCTTGAATTCCTTACAGGTTTTGCAGTGTAAGTAATAGAGAGAAGCAGAATTTTCTAAAGACGCGAACATTTGTTTTTTGGCTCCTGCGAAGTTGTGTATAAATAAGGGTGGGTTAATGCGGGTAGTTTGGTACATAGACTATGTTAGGCGTGGCTGAAAGTATGGGACACTATTTATTCTCGTGTGTGAACAATGACTGAAAAAACAAGCCCGTGAAACAAACAACGGAAAAGAAAAAACACAAAAAACCAAAACACTCGTAGATAGGAACTTGATTAAGAATACAACTCTAGTTAAAGATAAAATCGAGCTCTGTGATCGCTTACGATAAGAGTTCTTCTACGCCCGACTATCCTGCTTCGACAGAAGCTCTTACATCCACGGACAGAATGCGGTGGACAGGAGTTCGACCCGATTATCGACTACGTCTCTTTATTCGCCACTCGGAGCATCCACAAGCCCAGAAGAGTCTCCTGAGATCTGTATGTCTCGAAAGCACACAGTAGTCAATCGGTTGTTCCCCTCAATATGTATTGTTAGAAGGTCCCGCTTAACCTCCTCCTACGATCACCACTTCGCCATTCATGGGTTTATATGATTCGATGCTGAAGACATGTCGACCAGCCAAACTCGTCACTTTCTCCAAATTGGCGTCATGTCATGTATCCTCCAATTTTTTCCTTCATCACGCTACTTTCTAGAACTTTCACCAAACCCTTCGGAAACCTGTCTTAATGGCTACCCCTTTCAACCATCTCCGTTCCCACTATGATAACCTTGGTAAACCCCAAAATGCGATCTCGCCAACGAACGGTTGATGTCATGACATGTGTCGTTTTAAACATGCTTTGGAGCGAAGTGTTTATCCAGTTGAGGTGGTTTGTAGGCGCCAAACAGGGGCTTGGTTCCGAGGTCTTCTGATCTGACGAGATGGTGGTGTGTGGTGGTGGGTCTTCACGAAGATTAGCGTTGCAGCATCTAAAGTGTCGCGATTTGATTATTCACAGAATGCTAGAGCTATGGGGCAAACTCTGCGCCAGTCGGGACCCAAACGCCTCTTTTTTACGGAAAGTGCTACCGATCCAAATCAACCTGAGGACAACTTCCATCTAACCTAGCTTTGTGAAATTCGATAACTGTGACCTACTATATATATAATGCGCTAAGTCTGTCTGTCTGTCTGTCTGTCACGAAATTCCGTATTAAGCGGACAACAACCTACTGGGTCCAGGTCATGTTTGGGATGGGTGTACCATATCTCGAGAAGTAAAAAACATACATTACCTAAGCGGAGCCCCGCCCACAGTGGGCGTGGCGTGCGTCGAAATGAGTGGTACTGAGGACCATGATTTCAAATTCAGTCACAAAACAGCCTCGAGACCGGGACAAAAGTGGGCATAGGTGTGGGTTGGTAAGCCAGATTGAACTGAGGAGACCCACCCTCGGTGGGCGGGGCGTTCTCTAGAAAATGGGTGCTCAGTGAAAATATTCATAACTCGGTTAAGAGGAAGCCTACAGACCAGAAACGAAATTAGTGCAGGGGAGCAATGCCTAAGGTATTTCCACCACGCATGATGTGAACGGAGGCCCGCCCACAATGGGCGGAGCGTGTCGTGAAGCGGACAGCATTTTCTACAAGAGCTCATAAATCGGCTCCGAGATGACTTAGAGACCGGAAAACAACGGATAGAGGTCAGGAGGGGAGGGGAAGCTAAATGTCAGGGAATGGGCGTGGCTTACATCAAAGTGGGCGGAGTTTGCAATTAGGCTTATAACTCGGTTCCTAGGAGTCCCGGAGTCCGGGAAAAAAGCGTATGAGGGTTGGCAGAGGGAAAGGGGTCAACCGTTGTTGGCGGGCGGAGCATGCACCAAAGTGGGCGGGGTTTGCCACGGTACTTCATAACTCGGTTCCAATAAGTTCCAGAGATGGGAGAAAAGTAGAAAAAGGTTGGGGAAGAGATGGGGGGGTTGGGGAAGAGATGATAGCCGACTGATATCAGTGGGCGACCCACGCACCAAAGTGGGCGGGGTTTGCCACAAAGATACGTAGCTCGATTTCGTCCCCTACAAGACCTCATAATTCGGCTCCGAGATGACTTAGAGACCTGAAAAAAATACGCCAGAGGTGAAAGTAGGAGTAGAGGTTGAATGTGAACGCTGGGCGTGGCACACCCGGATGTGGGCGGAGTTTGCCACCGCTCTCATAACTCGGTTCCTAGAAGTTCCGGCGACCGGGGAAAATGTGCATAAGTATTGAGGTATGGAGTAGGGTTGAATGCCATTGTTGGGCTAAGCATGCACCAAAGTGGGCGGGGTCTGCCTCAGAAATTCGTGACTCATAACGCCATTTACAAGACCTCATAATTCGGCTCCGAGATGACTTAGAGACCTGAAAAAAATACGCCAGAGGTGAAAGTAGGAGTAGAGGTTGAATGTGAACGCTGGGCGTGGCACACCCGGATGTGGGCGGAGTTTGCGGCGTAAGTAAGATGTACCGAGCAGAAAGCTAAAATCAAGACAAAAATACTGATGGGCCCGATTTTACCGCTGCAGCCCCGTCTCATGCACGCGAATGCGTGCGCAGCCAAACTGGTAATATTATAAATATGAAACGTGAAAAACGCTAAGTGCGATTAATATAATATTGACATTGTTTTGCATTCTATTGAATTAATGTGATCAAGAGGACAGCAGTGACGCAGTGGCAAGCAGCACGCCTACCACGCGCGCGGTCCGAGGATCAAATCATGAGTAGAGCGTCGTCCGTCGTCAACCGAGCCTTCCATTCCTCCGGGGTTCGGTTAATTGGTACCAGGCTTGTCTGGGAGGATAAAAACACTGACTTGTGCATCGGCTGGCCCCCTGGTTATTGTATCGGCCAAATCGCATTCAAACGCCACTGCTATAAGTAGAAGTATAATAAATGTTTGCATCATCCCAAAAAAGGATTCATCAACGGCAAATGCTTTATACTTTTTATCCTTTAATGTAATCAAGTAATTTCAGTAGCGCACTTGAGTGTGCACCAAACAAATGAGTAAATAAATAATTAAACACAGTTGACAATCAAAAACATGTCAACATTGATATTTTCGATGATTGTTTTCTAATGATGAATGTTTTGTAATTTCTAATGTTAGAAGAGCGTTGTTGAAAAACATTCCTTATATTATGAGACTAACGTTTTTGTTGCAATAGCACACGTCAAAGAAGCTCGAAAATTTCAGCAGAGGACTTCTCAAAATGTTTACCCTCGAAATTTAACGCTCATGAACACTGTTACAGCATCCCAACGAAAAGACACGGAAGTCGACTCGATTCTGAAATGTCTGCAATGTGGTCGACGTTTCAAACGATGAAATGCTGGTCAGGCACATGCAAGACACGCAACACTTCAACAATCTTCCTAAAACTTATAGGTAAG